GGCTTGAAGTTATTTGTTTTTTATTTATTATAAGACTGAGATTCCGTATTATGGCTAAATAACCTTAATCGAAAAATATTACCTACTGGATATTTCCGCCATACCGTATTTTGGAATGCAAAATCTGGTTCCGCAAATTACGTCACGCATTTTTATGTACCCAGTTTATGGGCAATTTTAAAAATAACATCAGTGTCGTTTTAAAAATACTGACTTGATTTTTTTAGGGTCCCAACTAAACCGATTTAAGAATACTAGATTAACACGATCCACTGATTTCTACGCATAGACATACTTTTGTTGATGAATTGTCACGGGCTTATCAAGATCTTCTTTTACACAATCTTATGGAAACAATTGTTGATAAGGCGGCCTCATTACACCGCCATAGAAAATACATTAGCACGTCTGCGATAGTAGGTCAGTGTTACTACGCAATAGGTATAGTAGATACATAAAACATTATTTTTTTAGAATTTCTGATATTTTATGCCCTTTGAGAATCAGACAAATGAACGCCGTAAGCTCATGTATAATACATAATAAGTTACTTCACTGTTCACACAAAAAAATGCTTTATCAGATTTATATCAAAACTTAAAACACAAATGTTAACTAGAGAATAATTGACACTCTTAAAAGAGACTCCATCAAACCCGCTAAGTTAAGCCAGTAGCTTTTAAGTCAAAGCTCTTAGGTTATTCGAAAGTAATCTAGTCTTTTCAGTAGGGATCAGCTGTCTTTAAACATTGAGATTTTGATTAATAATGTCTCTGGATAAAAAAAAAAACTACTTATTTTAGTTAGTAAAAAACTACAAATCTATTCTACATTAATCCAGCATTCATATTAAACTTAAATGAGCAACCAAGTGTGCATTAATGTCTAAAAGGATTTATATTGATTGATTTCACTGAGGTGTTTTATCAAACTCCAATAGTTTTATCTTGGTAGCAACTCAAAGCTAACAACATCTAACTCCTACACATAATCAACATCTACTACTGACGCGCGTGTTCCACACAATCAATCAATTAAACAATTAATAGGCCTACTGGTAATGTACCTTAATCAGCCGATCACAGATCAGTATCTCTTGAAGAGTCCCTGTGGGAACTGTTAATGGGGATTAGATTATGGTATCTACAATCCTAAAATGCTATAAGAGAGGAAACCAGGTCCATGACGTAGGAAATGGTGAAGGAAGTAGTAAGGCTAGGAGTGCAGAGTGTGGTAACTGTCTGTGGCATTTATGTATCTGCAATTCTAAAATGGTATAGGGAAGGAGGGCAAACAGGTCCACGACGTAGGGAGTGGTGAAGGAAGTAGTGAAGGTGAGCAGTGTGGAGTTTGAGAGTGGATTAATGTATCTGCAATACTAAACTGCTCTCAGAGTAAACTAATGATTTTCCCCTAGCAAAGCTCGGTCCCCAGTTACTTAATTTGTTATTTTCGGAGATGATTTCTTTAATATGTAAAGAAGGACGACAAGAATTAATTTAAGATTTTATTTGCTAGTCAAGTTACTATTCCGAAATTTGTCCTTTCTTCGAATATGAAATTATATATGCACTCGAAATCTTATTGTTCCTTCTATAACCAATTCCTTCTATAACGATTTCCTCCAATCAGCTGTTTCATGCGTTCAAGTTTGAAAGTTTAGAGCACAATTTTTTAGCTCAATCGATTCTGTGACGAAGGCGTGATCGCACCCCACTGGTACAGGTGCAGAGGGGATGTTGTAGAACCGGACGACGATGCAAATGTGCGGCTGTCCGGTCACTCCGGCCGCACTGGTCAGCGCTATCTCGAGCGGAAATCCGCGAACCAGATTGCGAATCGCTAAACACACGCGGAATTACATGCCAATTTACCAAGGTAGCCAACCTTTGTCGACCGCACATAGAGAGGTTATCTGTGTCTACAGTAAAATATATTTATGTCGTATTTAGTCATTTATTTGTTTCTCGGTAAAAGTGTCAAATGACTTTCATGGTTGTTGTTGTAAATAAGAAGTAAAACATGAAGAAAACGCAATGATTTTAATGATAATAAACTTTTCCAATCACAAACTAAATGATTGAAAATGATCCATAAGTTATTTATCCAACACGAAAATATAACTTTATACAGTAAAAAAGATTTAATGGTTTTCGATAGGTCGGTTCGAATTTGGCTCGGTCAAAAGTTGGTGTAAAAAGAAACCGTGGTCAGTAGTGCACTTTGCACTTTGCACTTTGCAATTTCTTTTGTAAAACTGGCTCTGATTTTAATATGGGAATGTAATGTTTCTTGTTCAATCAATGGTAGCCTGGTTATAATAGGTGATACAGTACCTTTGACTATTGTTAGAATCAATATCTAAATACCAATACTGTATCCTGGTTATTTATTTATTTAGATGACAATACTACATTACAGGCATAGAGCCCAATTACAATGCAGCATTAAAGTTAAAGTCCATTTGAGAAAGTCCATGCAGTCTAATTAGTAGGTTGTTAAAACAGTAAACAGCTGATTTTAAAGAACTATCTTCAAAAGTATGCCATGTTGAAACAAAAACAGCTGTTTTCAATACGTTGCGGTGTAGGTAAAGTAACTCTTTTCCTTTTTAAGGTGAAAAAAACAGCTGGGTTCGAGGTTATCTGCTGTAAATTTTTGTGACTTCAAATGGATTTCTTCGAATATAAACCCTGTTAACTATCTTGTATAAGCCTTAGTCCATATCACCAGTGACAACCAGATATTACGTATTAACCGCCCGCATTGTTTGGATCTACAGATCTCTTACCAGTTCGATCAAGTCAATTTGCTCAATTTATTCAGACGCTTTCCTTCACGCCATCCCATCAGATCCAGTGCCATCTAGATACTAGAGAAACAACCAGATTGAACCGAGATGTAATTTGACCATTATTTGATCTCATTGATTATGTCCGATTTATATCTGTGTCATAATGGAAGCAATTCTATTGTATTAGTCACAGGAAATCTCTAAAGGCCTGTGCGATCTGCTGTCATTGTCTTTACATTGAAACAGACAGGTTATTGCGAAGAATAACCTGCATTTAAGTGAAAACCATGGACACTCGCAGAAAACTAAATCTATATACTCTATATAGCTATGGTAAAAGCATGTAAAATGCATGCAAAAAAGTAAAATAACTAAATCCTCAATAAATACTAAATTATATCAGAAAAAGTTCCTGTTAGGGAAGTGATGCAAAGTTTTTGATTCGGCCTGATTTTGCATGCAATGATTTGCACCCTAATTTTTATTTTGTACTTGTTTTAACTATTTTAAAATCTTTATAAAGATTGAAAAGACAACTGAATAACACCTATATTGCAATAGTACGTCGACACGAAAAATAAGATCATTTATGGCTTCATATTATATTATTTATGAATTGTTTTTGGAACTTAACATAACACAATTACTATAACACAATACCATAACACTGAATTGTTTTCTCTCAAAATAATCTCGTTCACGACATCAATTCGTTAAAAATAACATATGACGTTTTCTATTTCAAGCTCTTCGACGTCAACTTCTTCAGAAATCGCCGTTCTATGTTATGATTGTCTAGGTTAAATAGCATACCGCAACAATGTCATGACAAGGAAAGTTCTAGTACAATACACACGAATGAAGCAACCAAGCTTGACGTAGCGGTAAAACAGAAAACAATAATTCATCATGGTAAAGGGTTCGGCTAAAGGCTAAAGATGCCTCATTTATTTTGATATTTGCGACGACAATGGTTTGAGAAAAACCAATCAATTATTCATTTTGTGATTGTGGGAATCACATTTTTTATGAATAACAAAGAGATCACGTATTTTTTTCTGTACATCTTTAAATCGTACTTTCTTTTTTTAATAGAATTTAGATATCACAGCTTTCAGGCGGATTAAAAAATGTCTATAAAGGTTGACTTTTAATTTAGGATTTCCTATGAAGACATCAAATTCACAACTACTCTACATATCAAAGTGGATACAGCTTCTCTTGTTTTGTAGATACTTCTACAATGGATATTATGATTTGTATACTTCACCGATTGCTTTTAAACTCACTGGAAAGGGTGAGAAAAATATTGCATGTGATGGTTATTACTGCTCCCCTGTTTAGAGTTTCCATCTAGTGGGGCACGCGATTATTATAAACTTGGACAGCCAAGCGAATTAGTCTCATCACCTAACCTAACGCAAAATTTCCTGAGGTCTTTTACTAACGTGGCAATGGTTTCTAAAAAACTAAATACCTAAATAATTATCGGAGTTACACCATTTTCCTTATATTGCGATGGATCAAGAGAAGGTTATTAAGGATTTTAAAATGGCATTAGAAAATCAATAACGTATCATTATCGGTATGGAACAAATTGTCTAAAGAGATATTTTCAGAATTAGGATTTTTCTGAGTAATACCATTGTAATAATTATGGGGCTACCTTGGGAAAGGCCTTACGGTAGGTTATGCAGCATTGGATAAAATAATAAGATAATCCCCGAAGTATAAAAGTATTCACTTATCAAACTATACCCAAAATTTGTTATAGGAGTTGCAACTTTTCGGAGTACCTTTGTTGGCTGAAGAGCGGGGTTATCGAGAACTTTCAAAAAGTATCAGACAATAAATAACCGTATCATTGTCATTCAAACTGCAACGAATTCTTTCCGAAGTTACTACTTTTCGAAGCAGCGATTTTTCGGAGTAGTGTCTTTTCAGAGTACCTTTGTTGGCTGAAGAGCGGATTGTGGAGAACTTTCAAAAAGTACCAGACAATAACTTAAGTATCATTGCAGTAAAAAAAACTACAACGAATTCTTTTCTGAGCTACGAATTTTTGGAGTTGCGACTTTTCTAAGTTGGTACCTTTGTTGGCTGAAGAGTGGGTTGTGTTGTGGGGAACTTTTAAATTGACTAACGTATTTTTGTCATTCCAAAACAAGTATCATGTTCGGAGTTACGACTTTGCTGATCCTCTTACCTTGTGATGGCCCGTCGGCGGGTTGTGCAGCTCGTCCAGGGTAGGTCTGTAGACGGCCTGGATGGACAGGATGTTCCTGTAGTTGTCTAGCCGAGGGAGAGCCTCCCTAGTGATGTGTCGGAAACTCCTGGTGTAATTTCCTGGAACATCATCCTCGTCCTCGGTCCCCGAAGCAGCATCGTCGTCCGTCACCCCGCCGTCCACCCGGTCCACACGGAACCTGCAATGGAGTCGTGAGATGAAGAACAATCATTCTGACATGATTCTTCTTCGTGCTCCAGTAGAAGACCACTAAAGTTAATCTTCTTCAGATTAGATTGAAATGACAACTACGGATATTGAAGTGGAAACACCAGCTGCTGTAGTCTATACATAATACCATTATTCACTATCGCCAAAACTAGAACAAAAATGATCCGATTTTTATTAAATTTAGTTTAGACGAGGCTTTACATTTAGTACAAATTTTACACCTCTTGTACCTTTCTACAACGATGTCACTTTATCCAGTCAAAACATTGTCTTCATTTTGACAGACCGCTTTTAAGAAGTTATCGTTTTAACCAATCGGAATAAAACACGGATGCTGAGAATTCGTCTTTTCTAAATTAATTTTATTGGAACTCGTAAAACTCCAATCACCATTTTACTTAAACAAGTATTTGATTTCTTTTCTATATTGGGATCATTTTTAGACTTTCTAGAGTTTTTGTTTTGTTAAAAGAATTTATGAATACTGTACAGCTGGATTCTATGTTGAAGCACGTCCACCTGTTTTGAGATGACCGGAAGGTAAAGGGAGTGTTGATACTACTTTATAGTCATGAGAAACTCAAATTCCATATGAGTCTGAAGGGTTGACATTTTAACAGTCAACCTTCCCCGACTATCATCATAGGTCATATTCTTTTTTAGACAATCCTTGCGTATTTTTAGCTGAATGTGAATACAAGATAGGTGGAATGGAGTAAGAATATCTATGTAGTTTTTACAGTCAAAGCTTTTACTGACTAAGATCAGCTGTTTTTTTAAGTCAGCACCATTAAAATCCCAATGATAAAAGCATAAAAGGCAGTGACATTGCATTGTAAATAGTGAATAGTTGCAGCGTGCTTAAGCAAATAGTTGAAAAATATATTTCTAAATAATCAACTCAACACTTAAAACTCAGGGGAGAAGAAGAGCTGTTCCGGTGAGTTGAGAAAGGTGTAAATTAAAGTGAAATGTATTCCAGTTTGAACGCTATGCTCTAACCTACTTGCGATAATCAGTGTCCAATAAACAATTACTCTAACCATGATTATTCGTCAAGATCGTCAAGACGAGAGATTAACCTACAAGTTTATATATGCTGTAAACTGAGTGGTTATGTTACTCGCCTAGTAATTCGAAGGTCACCGGTTCGGTCCAGAGATAAGTAGCTTTATGATGGTTCAAAACTGGACCCAGCACCCAGCTCTCCTTGATCATTGGGTTTTCAGATGCTCCTGAACATATGAGATTTGGAAGAAACAGCTGATCTTGGCAATATCAAATCGACATGGCCATCTTATCCCATTCTTAATCCTGCATTCATACACAAGGTTTATGCGGCTGTCAGTAATGAATTGATTTAGGTTCATAGTGGAGCATCGGTGGCAGAAGTTGTATTTACGTCGTAAAATTGAATTCGTATTTTTTTTCTTATCATAATTAACCAGCAGTTTTTTAATGCGTAAATTCTTAAGAAAAAGTACGATTTTCCAACTTAACGTTTGAATAGTGCGTCTCAACCAACTACATACATTGGGAATTTTTTGTATCAATTAAACACTGTTAGGTACTTACAGAGTTATCGTCCTTATGGACCAGATGAACTACCCCGCCCCCCCCCCCCTGGGGTCTCATCCGGTGCTAAAAGACTTTTTATTATTTCTTGTTAATTACCGACATTTAAAACTGTTTATGCTATCAAAACAATATACTTCTAAACCTAAAACCCATTAAGTTCAATAGGTAGTTCTAGAACTAATTAGTAAAGGTTTAATTGTAAGATCGACTCTAAAATAATACAGATACATTAGTCACATAAAAACACTCAAACACAAATGTGACTAATGTGAAACATGAATAAAACTAGGTTTACCTTGTCTAAATAAGTATGTGTTTGTTCTTACACAAATGTCATATTTTTACTTGCTAATTTTAATTTTAATTTAAATAAGGTTATACATCCTTTGGAGGGTGGGTTTTCGTCGGCAGCCCTTTGCAGTTTTTGCAAGAGGGCAAGATGCTGTTTTGAAAGGGCAAAAAGGGAAAGTTCCTCTCGCCCCATTTACACTCTTGCCAATTCACTTACACTCTCAAATTGCGGACAGATATTGAATAGCAAACACTGAACGTGTGCTAAAACTGATCGTCTTTACATCAAAAATTGGCCAGGTTCAATGTAAAATCGTAGCAGTATCCAAAAATTAATGTTCCTGGACTCTTTCAAAATACACTTAATCCGTTAAAATAATATGTAGTTTACGTGCAAAAAATTTAGGTTATATGTAATTGACTCTTAATTCTTACTGAACAATTCTAAAGATATATCGGTGTCTTTGGGGGGTTTCTTTTTTATATGATTTTAATTTTCTTATCATTTAGACAGACTTGAGGCCTAATTCATGTATTTTTTGGATAGTAAGTTATAGCCTAGTTATATTTTTTGTAAATACTGCACTTTAAGAATAATGAGTACGGTAAAGTTGTACAGAAAAGATTTTATCAATCAAAAACAATATTATAAAAAAGAAATTCCTGATTAGACTACCTTTTTGAACATTTTATTTTTTTACTGACAAACTATTTTGACGCCTAGGTTTTTGGGAACTGTCATCGTATCGGAGATTCATTTGGCATCAAATAAAAAAACCCAGGGTTTGTAATTTTCTCTCAGAGGTGTAGTTTTGTGTCAGTATTTGCTCTTTCGACCAAAAGGTACTAAACGCGTGTTCTGTATTTTATACGTGTACTAAGGACCGAAATGTGGCTTTACTATGTATGAAATAAGAAACCTAGAAACAGTTTTCCAGAAGTTAAAAAAAATAATTAATTCCATATTGGCCCACTGCGACAACGTTCTAAAAACATGGGTTTAAAATAAAACTAGCACTTTTTGGTTAATCCTATTTTATTTCGAATGGATACTTGTGCAAGGTAAGATTATATCTGTAAATGTTTTAGTACTCTACGCTTAATTGTTATCTGCCCATCCAAAAATCGTCAGGTATTTAGAAGGTCACAATCGTCCCACACATCTGGTGTTTAGCGGGTCCCAAAAACCACCCTCTTCACCCCAGGGTTGTAAAATTGTTTTGTTCCACCCCAAATCACGATATTCGTAGATATTCTTTATTTGTGCTTTATGTAGGTGTTTTAGTAGAGGTAAAACCGAGAACAAAGATGCTGAGCCACAAAGTCAACTCCTGATTCAGAAATCATTCAAATTATAAATTAACCGTATCCTTAAACAATTATAATATTACCTGTGCTCCATCTCCACCATTGGAATGTCCCACGATGCATGTTTCTCCTGTTTGTCAGATTCACGAGGCTGCACAGCCATTTCACACACACAACGCGGCACCGGCACTCCGTAGTCCGCACTGTGCCAACTGTTCAACAAGTGTCACTCGCATCGCATCGTTCGATACGTCGATACATCGAGTATTCGATATATACGATTGTTTGGTAGAGGCTATGTCTACGTGAGTAAAGGAAAATATCATCATACGAACGCCGTTTTTAATGAGCTAAAAATGGTTTACAACTGAAATTATGCATAAGCTGTTATCTACGGGCTTCGCCCCGTTTGACTTCATAAGTATTAATAAAACTATTGATTGGTTGTAAAGCTGAAATAAACAAAACCGAATACAGTAATACAAACAAATGATCACACCTGATTTAAATAAGGTAATAGAACGAAATAATAGCATACAAATAAGTACAGCTGGGGTATTTTTAAAATTAGGTAGGCCTGGAAAGTTCCCTTTGGAAAGCAATTACGACCTTAAAGGGCAATTTATAATATAATGGATATTTGGAGATATAATGGAGAGTTTTGCGCAAGGTTTCTCGTCATGACGAACATTTAAAGTGTGTGGTTTATGGGGGTGTGACTTGTGTTTTCTCAAAAGTTCATTGGTACTTTGGGCTTGATATATGGATGTTTACATATATTTGGTAGAATAGTGAGAATAATATTGATTTGTGTACGTGTTATCTTATAATTGCTAATGTTTTGAATTGATTATAATTATGTATCATGTTGTACATCAAGTTGTTTAGTTGTGAAAGTTATAAATAATATTTGAGCGAAACAGCATTGTTAACAGAAATTTGGTCTTTACGAACATGTCACAATATTATAAATTTTCCTTCAAAACCACCGAATACTAATACAAGGGTGTTTTATAAAGCAAATGTAGGATAGTAATCTATATTTTCGGTAAAAATGTAACATAGGAGTTGAACAAAAAAGTGTTAAGTATGCGGAGTTCCGTAGTATTTTATAAAGCGTTGAGGTAGATGGGTTATGTTAAGTTGTTATCAAATTTGACTCTATGACTGGTAATTATGTACCGTAGGTATATTTACAAAATTCATCAACATTTATTTATTGAATTATACATTTTTATTTCCTCCTTCAGTAGTTTTTTACTCTGATAGTTGATGTATGACGTAAAATATGCCAATAGTTTACAACAGGAGAGAATATAAGGGGCCCCTGTGGGACTGCCTCCCCCCAAAATGAATATGAAGGACAAAATAAGTAGTGTATTAGATATATTTTATGATGACAACAATAAAATAGCGTTATTTTAGTAAAGTAAATGTAGTGATCAGCCCAAATTACTCACTGAATATAAGCAGCAAAACTGAGATAAGGTACGGCTGCCAACTTAAAATTACTTACCCTAACTTTACATTAATCTTGCCCCTTCCACTAAGACAATATTTTTATATTTACCACTCCACTGGAATAAATTGTCCTTTCATTTTAACTTCTTCAAAAGTTGGCTTACTAGAAATGAGTAATTTATGACTACATCTTTTGCACTTTTATCTTTTTTATTTACATCATTTACCGTCTAGGGAGTTAACATTATAATTAGTGTAAATACAGTATGTTTCAAGTGTTATTAGACGTATTTTTATTTGCTTTCCGGACAATAACACGATACAATGCCGCCAATGCCGATTAAAAAGATATTTAATTTACGCATAATATTCTATACATAATCAAAGAAAATACATTTCGACAGGGTACTCCGAAATTTTGTTAATAAAAAAACATGTACTTTACTGAGCAGGAATCATAGAGGGAGCAAAATGAATTCCTAAATATATCTAAATATTCAAATAATTTTGTCATTGTCACTTCAAATTTCTGTCAAAGCTTAAACTATTTCTGTTGCATCTGTCGCTGAATTTAAACAGTGCAATTAAGTACGTATATAAACAGTTTTGTCGTATAACAACTAAATAAAAATCTAGTTCAAACTATCACTGAAAGTAAGGTAAATGCACCAGTGGCTGACAGTATAAGAAACTATACGCACTTAATAATCCGTGGTTTTGAATAAATAGGAACTAAAGAGATATTACGGATTTTATGTGATTCTAAATTTAGTGTAGTTTTCAAATTTGTCATACAAAAAGGGGGTTTTAAATATATTTTATAACATTTTTAAACTTAATTCAACCTTTGTACGTGTTCCAGTGGCTGACAGTGAAAAAAGTGCTTGTACCAGTAGCTGACAGTCAGTTGTCCCAGTAGCTGACACTGGAACTATACATGTACTAGCTGCTAAACCTAAGGGTTTTATAATTTATAAGACGAATAAAATCTAACTTAATAATTAAATTATAAAATCATGTAAAACGTTATTACTAAAATTTATTTTACATATTTAAAAATAAAAAATATTTACATTAAAAAATACATACCTATATATTTTATATATATTTAAAAAAATATACATTTTTTAAGATAATTTTTCTTATAAATTAAAAAAGTAAAATCATTTTATAAAAATGTGAGATCACATAAATTATAAATAACATGCAAATGTCGATGGGTAAAACCAATTTAATATTGTGCAAGTAGCAAATATCCCCTGTCAGCTATTGGAACTTGTATGGATTTTGTGTACCAATGCCTGACATTGATATAATTTTAAATCCAAAACCCCTAACGCCCCAATTTTTTCATGAAATTGTCAACAAAGGTATAATTGATCAAAATAATGAGCCTAATCATTAATACTATTTAAGAAATTTAGTGAAATGACAAAAAACCAAACTAACTTTCTTAACAATTTCATTAAGGGAATCGACTAAATGTGATGTGTACGGACAGGGTCGCTTTCAAACCACCACCATTCCGCAAGTATGGGCTAAATTTAACTGATTTTTTTGTAAACAAATCAAGAATAAACATAATGTTCTTCTAACAATGCAATCATGTGTAAATATTTTTAAGAGACCACATTATAATGTAAAGAAACTCAAACTGTCAGCTACTGGAGCACTGTCAGCCACTGGTGCATTTACCTTAGTCGTGATTCATAATCATATCAGATAAGTCAGAAGTTGGTCGGAAGGCGAAAAATGAATGGTTATTTAACCGATTGAACGTTCGATAATCATCTATCGCGATGCTTCGATTCGAAATACCGGTAGTGTTCGAGTGCTCTCAAGGCAGCGGCTGCGTTGCCAGGCAACCGGTTCAACAATACATTCCTCCCCACTAAAAAAAAAGAAACTGCAGCACTTAATCAGCTGTTTGCTGTGGTATGCGGCTGCGCGAAGTTGCTGCCTCACGTGCGAAACAGCGCGTTGGCGTTGGCGGGGTCAGCACTCGGCCTTTGTAGTAAGGTTTTGTGCGAACCTTCTACATAATAATTTGAGTACTCATAAAAATTTGAGTGAATAAGTTTTATTCAAAATTGTCTATAGGGTCTCAAAAGATTCCATGCAAGCCTCTGGTATATTCTTTGGTAGTAAAGTGTTGTGTGATGTTACCGAAGGAACAGCACTAATCGAATATTATATCAGAAACTGTATGGATCATAATCATAAACAAATTAAATCAATGGCAAGAAAGTAAATAATGTTTATTAATATTTAAATGGAACTGTCAAACCAGTTGTTACAGCTAAGGCATTCGGGCCAGTGACGTCATGTTTTAATGTTATTGTTAATGATACCACTGTTGTTCTTATATGCATGGCAATAACCTGTAAACCTAATTTAACCTAAGTAAAAATGGATTCTTATTCTTCTTTTCTGTGGTTTTGACGTTATTCTATTGTTATAAGATTGGACCTCGTGTTGGTTTATACCTTTGACTATTCAGTAGCCAATTTGTATACATAAACAATTGTAACATTAGGGTAAACATAAGACAAAGGGTTCTCATTGTATCTGGCTGAGCTAACAAACAATGTGAAATGATTCTAACAGCTCTTAAACAACCCTTAAACTAGAGAAAATCTCTAATCTTTAGGTTCCACATTTTTAGTCCCTGTATTGGTACGAATAATACAAAAATATTATCTATTCAAACAAAACAATGTTCATTATAAACGCCTTCTCCATTCAGTATGAATAGCAAAAAGAATAACCATCACTTCAGGCTTTAGGACACGTCCGTTCGTACTATTCAAATAAGGCCCTCCATACACGTAACGATAGGTATACTTTTTAACCCATAATAGGTATACTTTTTAACCCATTAACGTCGTGATGGCTGTATTGGGTCCAAAAGTCCCATCATGACTTGTCATAAAACTACAACGGTTACACAACTTTTTATGCCCACTAATCACATATATTTATAGATGTAAAATGTATAGCCTACATTTGAACTTAGATCAATACATTCAATAGAAAAGTACTAAAATACTTCTAATGTTGTGACGCGTTGCCATTTATAGCCGTTTAATATATATTTTCTAGCATAGATTATTCTGATGGAGAATTTTATCTAAAAATTTAAGGGTACCACATTTTAGCGAATTTCCCTATAGGGAAGTAGCTATTACCGTAGGTCTCATGGTAAGACCTAGGCCCGGGACCGATTTACTTTTTCATTTTGTTGTCCCCAGAGGCCAAAAACACCATTCGTTCAAATTTTTATATATCTATATATCCTACTAATATTATAAATGAGAAAGTTTGGATGTATGGATGTATGTTTGTGACAAGTGAACGCGAAAAATACTGGTCGGATTGGGCTGAAATTTGGCATGATGATAGCTCACATTCCCAATTAACATATAGGCATGTTCTTATTTCAAAAATCCTTTCGGGCTCCGCCCCAGTGGCTCTGGAGTTTCCCAGGTTAACCTTATGAGAAATGGAATTATTGAATCTTAACAGCTGTTTAAATTAAACAAGTTGGTTCTGTTCTATGATGTTCAATAGCATTAAAGTTACAAGGATTACCAACAGGGTGCAGCACTATTATTTCTTTTACATTTATGACAACAGCTAATTTGCAACCAAAAGGTGAGTGAGCGCAGCGAACGAACTTCAACCTGGAGGCGAGTTAGCGTAGCGAACGAGCTAACCTGAAGGCAAGTGA